TAGAATTGAAGGTCAGATAAAGAGCTTCCCAGACCAGAAAAAGCTATTAGAGTTTATCACCATCAAACCAGTATTACAAGAAATGTTAGTTTTCTTTAGAAGGAGAAAAACAAGATAAAAATATGAATAATAAAATGGCAATAAATACATATCTATCAACAATTATTTTTATTTATTTATTTATTTTTTATCCTCACCTGAGGACATTTTTCTATTTTTTGTTCAGGTAGAGTGGGAGGGGGAGAGAAGAAGAGAGAGAGAAACATCGATGTGAAAGGGACACATCGAGTGGCTGCCACCCGCACGACCAACCAGGGCTGGGGACAAACTGCAACCAAAGTACATGCCCTTAGCGGGAACCGAACCCGGGTCTCTTGGGACCGCAGGCCGACGCTCTAACCGCTGAGCCAAACCCGCCAGGGCAATTATTTTAGTTGCAAATGGATTAAATATTCCAATCAAAACTTGTATGGTGACTGAATGGATAACAAAACAAGGCCCTAAATATGCTGTCTACAAGGGACTCACTTCAGATAGAAAAACACACAGACTGAATGTAAAGGGAGGGAAAAAAAAAGATATTTCATGAAAATGGAAAAAAGAAACAAACAAAAAAAGCTGGGGTAGTAATACTTATTCCAGACAAAATAGTCTGTAAAACATAACCTGTAACAGTCAAAGAAGGACCAAGCAATTCCACTTCTGCGTATTTATCTGAAGGAATCCAAAACACTAAATCGAAAAGACATGTACAACTATATGTTTTTTGCAACATTATTTATGATAGCCAAGATTTGGAAACAACCTAAGTGTCCATCAATAGATGAATGGATAAAGAAGTGGTGCATATATACAATGGAATGTAACTCAACCATAAAAAGAAATGAAATCGTGTCATCTGCAACAACAAGGATACACCTAGAGGATATTTCACTGAGTGAAATAAATCAGACAAAGACAAATGCCATATGATTTCACATATATATGAAGAAGCAGAACAGAAATAGACTCATAGATACAGAGAAAAGACTGACAGTTGCCATATGGGAGGAGGGTTGAAGAGCTGGGTGAATAGGTGAAGGGATTGAGAAGTACAAATTGGTAGTTACAGAATAGTCACGGGGATGTAAAGTACAGCATAGGGAATATAGTAAGTAATATTGTAATAACTATGCATAGTGCCAAGTGTGTACTAGATTTATTGGTGATCACTTCGTAAGTTATATAAATGTCTAATCATGGGGTTGTTTGCCTACAACAAATATAATATTGTATGTCAAATAATTAAAAAAAACACACAAACACAAAAGAAAATGACTAATAAGAAACAGACATGCTCAACATTGCAGTAATATAACTTAGTAAGATGTTTTCAAATAAATTAGGCCTTTTAGAAACAAGATGTCAAAAGTAAGTCAGAACAACTTTGATGAGGCCTGTGTCATAATGGATAGCAGTGTTGGGGCAGATAATGACCATGCTCAGCCCAAATCCCCTCAGATCCCCTTTACCTGTTTGCTGTCTGCTCCACGCTTCAATGGGCATTTCCTTCTAACACTTTAGCTCTCTTTTGGAGGCCTGCCCTAGCATTTCTAGAGCATACCTGTCCAGCTGTTAAGGAGAGCCAGAAGCCCTGGGAATTTTTTCTCCTAGGTAGCCCTTAACCAATGACAGATGGGTGCCAGAGTACGACAGTCCCACTCCTTTGTTTGGATTGGAACAACTCTTATCACGTAAATTTATACTCCAGAGCTCCCCTGCAGGATCAGACGAAAGATACCTTCTGTGGGACTTGAGATCACACCTTTGTTCCTCAGTTTTTCCTGGAAACACTTTCTTTTTTTTTTTTTTTTTGTACAGATAGAGGAGGGAGAGAGAGGAAGAGAGAGAGAGGGAAACATCGATGTGAAAGGGACACATCGAGTGGCTGCCACCCACACGACCAACCAGGGCCGGGGACAAACTGCAACCGAGGTACATGCCCTTAGCGGGAACCGAACCCGGGTCTCTCCGGACCGCAGGCGGACGCTCTAACCGCTGAGCCAAACCGGCCAGGGCTGGAAACACTTTCTTAATAAATCACTTGGACACAAATCCTCATTTCAAGATCTGCTTCTGGGGGAACCCAACTAACAACATGCATTCCAATACCCCACCATCTCCAAAGCAGTGTGATTTCCAGCCTTGGCTGGACCCTCAACACTGCTAGGCAGCACTTTCAGTTCTTCCCTGTCCTCTAGACCTGATTTCCCCTTCAAGGCCCTGGGAAAGGTGAGGCAGGCTGTTGGGAGGCCTGTGCTCTACCCGTCCCTCCTCCCCAAACCCTACAGACCTTCTTATAAACTCAGTTTTTCTTGAGCAGGTGCTTCTTCTACCACCCTAACCCTGTTATTTGGTTCCCCAGTCTTTTGTTTGTTTTCATATCACTTATCAGGATTTATAATTATCTTGTTTATTTGTTCACTTAGCTTCATCCTACTCCCCTTGTAAGCTCTGAGGGCAGGAACAGGACTATTCACTACTTTCTCCCGTGACGCTAGAACAAGGCTGACATTTAGTAGAAGCTCAGGACTTTCAGCTCAAACATGTCCATCTCTGTGAAGCCCTCAGCACCATGGGAGGGTTAGGGGCACTTTCTTCTGAATTCCTATAACAGTTTGTATATAGTACAAACATGCAATAACCATGTTGTTATTTACTTGTTTGTTTCCTATATCAGAACATGGTGAATAGGCTCCTAGATCAAAGAACTTTATCTGACTCATTTAAAAACCCTCAGCATCGCCCAGCCAGTGTGGCTCAGTTGTTGAGCATCGACCCATGCACCAGGAGGTCGACATTTTGATTCCTGGTCAGGGCATATTTCCAGGTTGTGGGCCAAACCCCCAGTGGGGGGCATACAGGAGGCGGCCAATCGATGTTCTCTCTCATAGATGTTTCTGTGTCTCTCTCCCTCTCCCTTTCTCTCTCTCTCTCTAAAATCAATAAAAAATAAATAAAAAAAAAACAACTTCAGCATCTAGCACAGTGCCTAAATCATAGTAGTCACTTGATTTTAAAAAAAGTGATGAATGAATATATGAATAAATGAATTAAATTGTATTCTCATGGGAAAGGATGACTTTACTAAAAGCTAGGAGTGACTCGAAGATGGATGCCAACAATTTCTCTGAGGGCAGAGGAGCAGATACCATGGTTTTGGAAATGGAGGTCTGAATTCACTTCTGAGGCCAGAGAGCTCCTTTATTTTGGGGAGGAAAATGCTTTGGGTGAAAAGTCTTTGAGCAATATAAAGATGAAACAAGGTACCCTTTTGAAATGGGAAGTTTGTAGACATGGATTTACTAAACTCTTCTGCATAATTATGTAAAATATATTTTCCTTATGGGTGGATATAAAACTCTACACATTACTTCTTAGAAAAACTAAGTTTCTTCTCTGGGGGTCCTCATGGAAGTAAGGTAAAGTATAAAGAAGGCAACAGAGACATGGCCTGGGACCAGGGGCTTAGGAGAAAAGTGACCTGGCTCACACAAGCGCAGAAAGAAGGAAGTCATCATATAGCACGCACTCCAGGGGACAAACTTGTTACCTGTTCTCCTGCATTAAAAACAAGCATTGATTTGTTTACAGTTGTGATGTCAAATTAAAATTTAACATATAGTCTGGCTGGTGTGGCTCAGTGGTTGAGCATCGACCCATGCACCAAGAGGTTGCTGGTTTGATTCCCAGTCAGGGCACATGCCCAGGTTGTGGGCCAGATCCCCAGTGGGGGGCATGCAGGAGGCGGCCAGTCAATGTTCTCTCTCATCGATGTTTCTATCTCTCTCCCTCTCACTTCCTCTCTCTCTAAAAATCAATAAAGAAAAAAAATTAACATAGAAGTAAGTGTTTTGAAAAAATAAAGTGTTTTCATAGGTCATAGCTAGTTTCTTTTTCATAATTATTTCTTTCTAGCTAGTCATTCTTCATTTGTTAATTTTTCTTCTCTCTGTCAGCCTATAAAGTTTTTTTTGGGTGTTAACATTACTTACACATAATGTTACAAATATTTATCTATTAATTGATTAAAACCTTATTTTAATCCTCACCTGAGGATATTTTTCCATTAATCTTCAGATAGAGTGGGAGGGAGGAAGAGAGAGAGAGAGAGAGATCAATGCGAGAGAGACACATCGACTGGTTGCCTCCCGCAGGACCCCGAGCAGGGCTGGGGACAAATTTCAACCGAGGTCAGTGCCCTTGGTTGGAATTGAACCTGCGACTCTTTGGTCCTCGGGCTGATGCCCTAACCGCTGAGCCAAACCAACCAGGGTGATTAATTTTTTTTTTATAATATGATTTATTTTAGTATTTACCCTAACTGTAGGTGGACCTAGGATAGAGTAGAACTGAGCACAGAGGGAGCCAAAAGAAGCCTGTAATTTGGGCACATGATCAGAGTCCTGCCCATGAGGGCATTGAGGGATGGGGCAGTGGGATGAACAGCTTGGCTCTCTGTTGGCTTGTATGTGGTAGCACAAGAGGAAACCCATAGAATTTGGAGCCTGAAGACCTAGATTAGTGTTTTGACTAGGACACTTAAGCATGTGACTTTACCTTTTTCAGGATGTTTTGTAAATTATAAAATGCAAATAAGACATCTGCTTCATAAAGTGGTGGGAATTAAATGAGATTGCATGTGTGAAAGCACATTTTCCACTAGACAGCTCTGTATGTATCTTGTTTATGTGATTGCCAGTCTCTGTGTTCTTTATTGCTAAGGGCATCCTGATTTTATATGGGATGTTTGATATTAGCTAATCATTTCTACTCTATTAATGCTCTGCCATTTATTTATTTTCTTAGCTTCCTTTGCAGCCATAAGACCCAGTTCCAGTCAATGAGGTGTAAGTGGAATTCCGCTAGCACTGAAGGAGGAAAGCCCCCTTTCCCACCATCACTGCCATTCCTTATTTGAATACCAGTGGAAAATACTGGTTCCTGGAGCTGTGGCAGCCATCCTGAGAACACAAGGTAAGGAACATGAGGATAAAAAGCTGACTGTTGACAGTAGCAAAGTACAAGAACTGGAAATTGCCTGGTCCTTTTTCACTTCATAAAATTTGTGAACCAATCTGAAACTTTTCCCTTCAAATTTCTGGGTTTGTGAGATGGTTAAATGATTTTATTAATGGAGCCACTGCTAGTCAGATATTCTGTTACTTGCAACTAAATGCATCCTGATACCATACATATAGTACTTATGTAGGGATGTGCATGGGAGTGTGCTTCCCTGAGGTCATTGTAGTATAACGGGAGAGAGCATTAAATATGAGAGTCCAAAGCTGGGGATAACTGACTCTGAATTAACACTCTGAGCCTCGACTTACTGATCTACACAATGGGAACAATACCATTTAATCCACGGAATTGTTGGGAGGACTAAATAAAAGATTACAAATGAAAATGTTTTGCAGTTCAACAAGGGCTATACAGGGTGGGGCAAAAAGTAAGTTTACAGTTGTTTGTATGGAAAATACAATAATTAATAAATAATAATACAAGAATAAACTATTCCGCATACTCGTATCTATAAAGCCACATAAGGTGTCACTACTTATCCTCCTGCTGTTAGACTACAGTGGAGGAGGGATGAAGGCATGCAGGTAGGAATTCACTTAAGTGAATTTTGTTTGTGCCAACAACCCCCCACCCTGGCCCTCTTTCGTGATCTCCACTGAAATATTCCCAAAGGTCTCAAGTTGCCCCTTCAATGCCCAGTAACACCTGACTCTCCATTTCCCATACTTAAAGACTCTGTTTCTTTTTCCTTCTCCCATTTCAATCCTCCCAATAAGAAATGGACTCTTGTATAGTACCCACCCCCTTGGGCCCAGTTGTCATTCACCAATCCAGTTGTGTGTTAGTTTGTGCCCGGGGTTTCCTCTGTTATATGATGATGTGATAACAGTAGTAGAAATGTCAGGGGGCTATGGCCAGGGGCAAGGAAAAGCACTTGGCTTGTTGGTGCTTCTGGGAGACCACAGTAGGGAGGGTTGGAGTTGGAGAAATCAATTTGGCATTCAGCTGCGGGAACAGAAACATGACTTCAGGGGCTCATACTAATTGGAGCTTCTTTTCTTCACATAATGAGAGGACTGGTAGGAGATGGCTGCTGATGAATTCAGTGGCTGACCATACAGTGAGGGACTCAGACATGGGGTCACTTTCATCCAGTGGATGAATCATAAGTGTGTTCACTGACTCTGTTTAATCCTTCTACTGAAGGGAAGTTCTATGTAAAGAAAATTTCAGAGATTGCAGAAGTAAAAAATAATAATAATTATGAGCCTAAGAATCTCCCCCCACAATACAAAATACCACCCAAAATAAAAAATCAAAACAAAATAATGAGCAAGTGCCTTACAATTTGGCAGTGTTCTGTTTAAAAAGTGTTTTGCCTCATACCTGGTCCTGGCCTTTGTCATTCTTAAAATTGATATTTCTTCTTTGTTTTATTTTGTCTGTTATCTCCTGTGCTCTAAGGTCAAAGTCATCACCACCAGTAGAGGCAGTAGGGCAGAGAGAACAAGGACTCTGGGCCCTAGAACCAAATGAGTCAGTTGATCTGTGACCATTTTTGACCTACAAAATGGTGATGTCACATAGTTCAACATAATATTATAATTATCATCATTTGGTGACCATTTATTGAGTGCTGATTATGAAATAACTTTAACAGGTCCTAAGTGACCAAGCTAGGACTCAAGCATTCTTTGATGTCTGTGCCCCTGCTGACTGCCATGCTGGGTACCATGCTGCCTCTCTCCTATTTTTATTGAACACTCCTCATTTTCTGGTCTCCAGGTAATAAAGCTAAAGATAGAACTTTTCCTACTTTTCGAACTTCACTGTGCCCCCCTCAGAATACGTGACAAAATGCAGCCAGCATCTCCTGGAAGATTAGGAGGGCAGTAAGATTCCGCAGCCACCTTCCGGCTGACATCTGAGCCCTGCTTTCAGCACGGTCAAGCCTTTCGGAGGCAGCCAGTGTATGGCTTGTATCAAACTCTATATTTAGGAAGAACAACTGTGAGCTATGACAGGAATTCTCTTTAACACTTAGCCTTAAACTGAGTTCCCCTCCAGCCCAGAGCCGAGAGCAGCTCTCAATCCCGGGTGAGGCACCGAGCACTTGAGCTATTTCAGCCACATGCAAAGCATTGGAATTGAGATCGCAGCTCAGAGGACACCAGGCATCCCTTTCACCTTCTAAGGAGCCTTGTATTCTTGCACCTGGCTGCCTGGGACTTTCCTTAGGCAGTAAACAAATACAAAGCAGGTAAGCAGAAGGATGAAGCTTGGGCAACTGGGCTTTCTGAAGGAAATTTTCTTGATACCTAACTTTCTTTAATGCCTGACTACTTATAACTTTGTAGGCTCGTAACCAGTGGGTATGTAGCTTCCTTGTAAATTTACTGTTCATGGGTGATGTTGCTGCTTCTGTTTTATAAATTGTGTGTGTGTGTGTGTGTGTGTGTTTGAAAGAATATTGAACTAAAAGTAGTTAGTATTGATAGTGACAATAAGAAAATTTCCACAGTCCAGGTGTGATGACTGTGACCCTGAATATTATGTCATTTTGATTCTTATGGACAGGGTTATAGTTGCTCAGATGCAGACTGATTTGGGCTATAAGCCTATAAATGATCAGAATTTGGGGCAGAGAAAATCTAGCTCTTTGGTTTACCTAAATGCAAATTATTGCCAGAGTTGTTATACAATTCAAGTTTAAAACGCTTTTCTCTTCTCTGTGAGCTCCAGGCTTGACCTCGGTGACAAAGTTCTGTCAACATATAGATTGATTAATACTCCAGACCCATCTTTTCAAAGCTCCATGTTAGTCACAGTGTTCCCCATACCCAGCAGGGTAGAGGGCAACACTCCTGTCTCTTTGTGGATGCCAGGTTCTGAAACGTGGGAACACTAAATGCTTCTTCCCTCTTGTCATAGTTCAGGCAAAGTGAATAAGGAGTTAGTTCAGACAGCTGACCATCTTTCTACACCCTTCTCAGAATTATTTTTAGCTGTGAGACAGATGATAATTCCCTTTAGATTTCACTTTAGCCATTTAATTGACCTTTTAAAAGAACAAACAAAATCCCTTCTCTGTAAATATTGATTCACTTTCCTCTCAATCCACTTTTATGAAATTAGTGATATTAATGCTGACAAAATTTTAGTAAGTGAAATAATCTTATTTAGAAGTCAGATATTAGGTGATTCCCAATGAAAAACCAGCAGAGGTATTGTACATGACTCGGCATACAGACCACTAAAGGTCCCTAGTGACTTGCAGAACCGGCAGGAAAACTCAACTGTGCTAAACTGGCAAGCATTTCCTTTATACTATAGGTTTTGCAAAAGTCAATGCATGCCTTGTCAAACTTCCCGTTTCCAAGCTGTAGCCAGAACCAGGAGACAGTAAGAGTGCTGCAAAGAGTATCTCTTTGTATGGAAAATAGTGGCCCCAGTGTGAGTGGAGTTGTGCATCTAAGGCATAGCTTTTTTGGTTCTGGTTGAGGCACGCAGCTAAAGAAGGAAGGTGCATTCTACACGATGCATCCCTAACAGAGGTGAGCGTAGGGCCAGAGAAACAGCCAGGGAAACAGCCAGGGAACACTGTCTATTTTTGTTCATCAGCGTGCTTTGCCCTGATTTCTCTGTGAATAATGAGGACAGCAGGAGCGGCTGCAGAACTGATTTACACAAATGTTATCTAGCCTGTTTGCAAGGAATGAGAGCTGGCATCTGACCAACTTTTTAGAACTGTCTCTATCGCAGATTGACATGTATGTTAAGAAGAAATTTGTGTGCAAATAAGATTATACCAGAGCTATACAGGAGACAAGGCCCACGAAATAACCATCTGTTAAGCTTAGAGGTCCAGAAAATACAAAGTAATGCAGTTCAGTGGGAAAAAAAGTCAGCCTAATTTTTAAAAAATTCAATGCAGTATAAATAGCATATCCATTACCTGACTTTTTTACATTTCAACCTGTGATTGTAATAACAAAGAAATTCCCAATTCCCACATTTTGAATCGATGTACAAGAAAGTTTGAAAAGTTCCTAAGTGATACTAAACTTTAGTTGTATACACATAAAGCATCCTATATGCTGAGATACTTAAAGTCTTATGCAAATTATTGCTTTGCATGACGTCTAATGGCTTTTGAGGAATAGAGAAACATGAAAAATTAAACTACCAAGCTTTTCCTTTTGAAATTGAGCTGTGTGTCCTAGATCTAAAAATTAAAAACCCTTCATTGAGTCTTGGACACTGCAGGAAAGACAGCAACATATTGGAAACATAGAATACAGCAAAATGAATTCCTGGTTGTTTAATTTGTTGTTGCTTTTTCATTTTTTAACCATATTGAAAATAATTCTACCTAGACTCTTATGCATGGAGGATATATCTCTATATAACCAAACCATTCAGGTGAAACTTAAAAAAAAATCTCATTGTCTTCATGTATGTGACTCCAAAGACTATTTACTGGGATATACTAATTATAGAGACTGAAAAAAAATATTTAATTAACTTAATGAAATAGAGCCTAAGCCTTTGAAGATAAAAAACAAAACAAACAAAAAAAAACCAGTAAACATTCACAGAATTCTCAGATTTTTGGTCTCTAAAGTATTGAGGGGTATTATTACATCAATTCTTACTCCGTGCTTAAAGCTGTAGATCAGTATACAGTAGGCCTAAAAAGTCAGTAGCTGTGGGCAACGACAATAAAACAATAAATATTTGTATTTTGCTTTATAGTTCACAAGGTATTTTCAGGAACATTGTGTCATTTTGATTCTTACCACAAGCTGCGAAGCAGGTAAAATTTAAGGAAGTGGAAATAGACCCAGATATTTTGAGTGACATAGTCCAGGTTACAAAGGACCTGTGGCCAATGGAAACACTGCTCTCTACATTAATTTTCTCACCAGTTAGCATATACACTTACGCTGATCAATAGAGGAAAGTCAGTCAACCCACTTTATAGTTTTGGTTTAAAAAGTAGCATGTTTTTAATTCACTGAGTTTTTAACTTTTTCACTCGGTTCTGTTGACATTTTATTGAACAAGTGATAATAATACTGATACAGAGCTGGGCTGTTCCCTGCCCGCCCTGGCCTCAGTAAACCATAGTCACCATCCTCTAAGTGAGATCTCATGAGCTGCAAGAAAGCAAAAATCCTTTGGGAAGGAAGCACTACTATGTCTTGGGGATCTGACATGGTCATGTAAGTTCTATTTGCCTTCTGGGGCTGTGTTGTTAAAAGAAAGAGAGGTGAGGCTTGCCAGCTGCCTGGTTTACAGAGCCTGGGTTCCGGATGCACAGGGGCAGATGCGGCCTACTTCCTCAGTGTTGCTCAGGTCACTGGATAGGACAGACACATGCACAGAGAGCAGAGCATCACAATAGTAAAAACGAGGTACAGGCCATTTCTTTTTGGATGTTGAACTGAGAGGAGGCGCTCTCATTTGACTGACGCATAGCCCTGGCAACAACTAATTCAGATCAAAAGTTCAGTTTCAAGCGGAAAGCTTCCGAGGCCCCAAACAAAGGTGTTTTATTCCCACAGCCTCTTTGCTTTGCTGCTCTTGGCAGGGGGGCAGGAGGGCAGGGAAGGAGATGATAGCGCCTTTTAAGTTTCTGATGGCCTATCATTAGCATCAGGGGCGAGGCGTCTCAGCATTTCTGCTCCTGAATGATTTATCCTGCCTCTCGTGTTCCCTCTCCCTGAGGCTTTAGGAAGGAGAGTCGCTAAGTAACTTCGGAAACTGAGACTGAAAGAATATATGGCCAGTGAAAGGGGTGACTGCACAGTTGAATCATGAGTTAAGTTCTAATTTATCAAGACCGTGAATCTGAATGCCGCCACCTCTAACAGTTTCTTACTTGTTTTTTTAGGGATAAGACTGAGTGAATATGTCGAAACAGCCAGTTTCCAATGTCAGAGCCATCCAGGTAAGTAGGCACATTTGTGTTTTAACATCATCTCTATGAGTTCTAGCCTGTTTTCTTAATAAATCAGACTTTTTGCAGTTGTTCGACCGTAACTGATGATTACCTTCAAGAAGAAAAGAAAGACTCATTTAAGGTACACTTGAGAAAGGATATAAGACTGGTAAGGCACAACACAGAAGGAAGAAGCTGTTTTTGTTTAATTGTGCTGAATTATAAGACAATCAAAGTTTATGAATGAGAATTAAATGTTCTACAAAAATGTAATGTGTATGTGTTTTGATGTGTAAGTTTTTGATATGCTCATTGATAGAAATTAAAAATTCAATTTCCATTTTTATATCCAATTGAGTTTGTTGAGCCATCTGTTTAAAATACATCTTAAATAATATTATTTTCTTGTCAAGTGTTCTTACCAAGGCTTGGGTATTTATCTTTTATTTATTTATTTATTTTTATTTTATTTTTTTGGTACGTGCCCCTAGCGGGAACCGAACCTGGGACTCTTTGGTCCGCAGGCCAGTGCTCCAACCGCGGAGCCAAACCGGCCAGGGCTGGGTATTTATCTTTTAAAGTGCATATGCTATTATGTCTCATCAATTCCTCTGAGCAAACAAATTCTTTGGTTGTTTCAACTGACTTATGTGTCACTCACAAAAAGGGGAGAGGGAAACAGGCATCTGGGAACACAAACATAATTATGAAGATAACTTTCAATATTTGTTTTTACCAATTTGTCATTTCTCTCAAGGGCTCTGTGTTTAACTCTCAAATGGCTCCCACACTGGGATGCTGGCCACGTGCTTTATTGTAAAATTCCATCTTTCCTTTCCACAGCATGGAGCCATCTGTGCTTTTGCTAAAGGAGCTTTCAGACCTTTTTTTCCCTGGACTTTTCTGAATGCTGCAGAGCATGTGGCAGTTCCTGAATATTTTGGTTCTGATGCACCATCACAGCATACAAATACTCATAAGCAAATGGCAGTATTTTAGAGGGGTGTGTGTGTGGCTAGGTTGTGGGGTTAAAAATCCTATCACACACTGGTGGTAGAGGTGAGTGAAGGAACAGATCTTTACCTGTGGTGACTAATGCATAGCCTTAAGTGGATGGACTTAAGTGGCAAGATCTATAACAACCTTTGGAAACGTGTCTTAGAACAAACCACTAAGAAAGGGCCTTGGCAAGGAAGGAGTCAACTTAACATTGCCGCATTTGGCTTTCTGGTGTCCACCTAGTGAGTCAGTGACATACCCTGACATTGGTAGTGCAATTTATTTTGCTTCCCAGATCTGTTGGCCTCCTTGGGCCTTTGAACCTTCTCTTTACCCAGTGTGCATAGCTGTTAATGGCATGGGTTCTGAAGCCAGATCACTGGAATTTGAATCCCTGATCCATTTTGTATTGGTGTGGGATCATGTGAACACAACTTTATCTACTTTACCTCTCTTTCTCCATTTCCACATCTGTAGAATGGGGATAATAATAGTACCTCTTAAGGCTACTCATACAAGATACTTAAAACAGCATAGTAAGCCCTCAGTAAGTATCAATGGTTATTACAATAATTATCATTCAGGAATGCTCTATGTTAAAATGATGAGAAGTAATACTATTTGATTACTGCAATTGAAGTTCCCAAGGTGCTAAACATAAATTTCCTTTTTATTTTGCAGGACACAAAAACATAGTCCTTTCTGGCTGCCTTTGCTTCTCTCCCTTTGAAAGCTGAAAGTGTGTTGATTTTTCTTCCTTAGTAGTTCCCTCAAATCTACACTGAAATTTCACCAGTATTTTATCTAATAATTTTGATCTTGATATATTTTTAGGTCTGTAATATTTAAAAAATTGCTATTGACTGCTCTCAATAGCTGTTATTATACTGCATTAAAAAAATCCATCCACTCTACCAACAGTGGTTCCTTATAGATGTGGTATTGCCTCTTTCAATATATTTTATGCCACACAAAAAACGTAATTTAATGAACCTTCAAATGAAATATTATTTCTTGTGGTTAAATAGGATCTGCACCATCTGATATTTTCCTATTATCTCTGCATTAACCTAAAGTAATGTCCATTAAATAAAATGCAAAAATGGTTATACTATATAAATGGCTTACAGTAGGAACATTATCTAGGGTACAGGGTTGTCTGGAACAAATAGAAACTCCAGTGGATGAGGGAGTGCCCTGGTCGTGTAAATACCACTTAAAGATCTTAAATGTTCTATTCAACACCCTCTACTTGCTTCTCCTTTTTATCAGGATCTAATCTCCAATTCAGTACAACTATTATTTCCTCAGACTGTTATGTTTATTATATTCCGTATATAAGTTAGATCATGTGGTATTTGTCTTTTTCTGCTTGTTAGCCATTATTATTAATCATCAACATCATCATCATCTAGTTCAACAGTTACCAAAGTATGTCTCTTGAAATACTAGTTTAAGGGATGTTGTTACTTATAGGGTTTCATGATAAAGTGTTTGGGAAACATTATGTTGAACAGCATTGAATAGGATCTTCACTGCAGAATTTCTCAGAGTGCACAACTTACTAAGGGCTTTGTAGACTTCCAAGAAGGTGGTAACATGAGCAAAATTTTCTGAATATATTGGACCATTTTCATGAGTACTTGCAGGTTAGTATTTTGCAGGGCAAACTTCTGGAAGTAATGACTTAGATCTCTATTTTGTCTGGATTGAATGAATCTTAGCCACTGTCAACCATACTTCTGACAGTCAGGCATTTAGTTAGCTGAATTACTCTACTGCACCTACGTGCATTAGACAATGTGGAACCAAATGGTTACAAATCTCTGCCTGACCACTCACTCACTCTGTGATCTTAGATTATTGTAATGAATAAACAAAATAATGTATGGCAAGTGCCTGGTTTATAGCACACAAATTCCTTAAGAGATGGCTTTTGAAACGATCCAAGTAATGTACAGAATGGCCTTGATTTCTCTTCATCTGGTTCCATCTCCTCCATGCTCCGGAATAAGAGGGAGGCCAGAAATAGACTGCCCCTTAGAGGAGATGGACAGTTGTCTTTCACATTCATGCTGAAGAAGAGATAGCCTTTGAATTGTAGGAGAATTCTGTGTGAGTTTACATTTTTTTCAGTTGTATTAATGAAATCTCATTTATGCCAAGGACATAAATATATCCCTAAGAAGTCAGTTGATAGTTTCATAGCTTAGAGAGGGCCTTTGTCTATAAAGCAGCTGATAAGGATCTATACCAGATATGGGTAAATCTTTTCTGGTAAAAATCAGAAAGTAAATCTTTTGGATTTGCAGATCATGGGTCTCTGTTCCAACTACTCAACTCTGCCATTATATCACAAAAGCAACCATAGGCAATGCATAAATGAATGAGAGTGACTGTGCACCAATGAAACTTTATTTACAAAAACAGATGGCAGGTTGGATTTGGCCCATGGGCTGTAGTTTGCTGACTCCGGTTCTTTACTCTCCAGGCTGACTGTTAAACTCTACTGTTGATGGGAATGGATTTGTAACCAAGGTAAAGTCAGCACACAGGGCATAGTGGGCCTGATCCCTTCAGATGAAAGAATTTGACATGACAGGTGGTAGGGAAAGCTGGAGCTGCCGGGAAATCTAATGCCATCAGTGATCTGCTTGGTGAGTCTCTAATGAGACCAAGTGACACTGGCCACTGGCAGCACCTGCCTGTCCTTCCCCTTCCTCCTGAACACATTTCATTTAAAAACCACCACGGGCCTCCCCAGGGCCTCAGCCTACCCAGAGCCAATGGTCTCTTGGTCATAACTAGTCTATTTTCTCTACCATTGATCAAAGTAAGCTGAATATTATTTGTCCTTTACCATCAGGTCTGAGAACTTCACGGTTAAATGGAAAAGAGTCCTGTGCCCTCGTATTAGCTCTGCTCTGTGGCTTCATTCCCGCTGGTCCTCATGATCTACAAAGGGAGGGTGTTTCATTGAATGACCTCTAAGCCTCTGTCTAGCTTCTAATAGCCTATGAACTTCTTGAGAATAACTTCCAAGGTTTATTATTAGAGTGATAATAATAGTAACAGTTTCTTCAGGGTTTACTATGTACTTGGCACCATGCAAATGGGATTTCTATGGATTATAATGAAAGGTTTAGAGAAGTGAAAGAACTCACCCAGGATCACATGGCTTGTAAGTAGGAGAGTCAGGACCCAAACTCACATTGTGTGATCCCAAAGCCCACATCTGGATCCACCCTGCCACACTGTTTTAGCCTCATTATTTACCAACCTGCCTTGGCACAGAAAGTGAGAATAGAGGAATTGGTGCAGACCATCTAGAGAATAATCATAAGAACTCAGGCTATTTGAGGGACAATTACCATTTTATGGATGCTGGGTCCTCCTTTTTAAAGAGTTCAATTGACATTCAGAGAGTGTCAGCATTTCAGGGAAGAAGCTAATAGCCTACACTGATTAAAGTCATCTTAAGTGTAAGTTGGCTAGGAGTGACAAGTACAAAGTAAAGTGACTCAGTGACTAACACAGTCTTGAAATACAAACAACCATGGCCACAGAATTCCCACCTCTCTGCTTAATTGACTTAATCAAGCTGCTTGTAAAACTAAACCTAACTCCTTTATCATACATTTTAAAGGAGTGATTATAGGAGTCCTGTATCATTAGTGAGTGTGTAGCTTCTTACCATGGGAAATTTTCCATTGTTACTCAATCCATATATAGAACAGAGTATCTTGATATCCCGATGTTAGTACTTCTTTCTCTTCCTCACCTGTTATCATTGCTCTTCTACTCTCCCAGGGCATAAAGACTCCATGGAAGAATAAAACAACCTGACAAAAAAAGTTTACAGACAGATGTTAGGGACTCTATGTGTTTTCAGTCTAGGATTCCCAGTGTAAAAAAGATTCCAGGGGTATGACAATTTTTAGTACAAAGGAATAGATTATCACCACCAATGGTTGGTCAGTTAAACCAATATATTGATTAAACTAAAAAAG